GGCTACTCACGCCCCTACGGTAGCGACAAGCCGTGGCCTAGCCTCCTCGACAAGGAGCGGGAGGAGAGCCTCCGACAGAAGTGAGTGAGACGACCGCACCTTCTCGTGTAGGAGCTCAGCTGCCTTTGGAGTCTGGTTTACCGTTCATTCCGCTTTTGACTATTTGCATTTCGCTCACTCTGCCTGCCTCGCTCCCATTCTCATCCCTTCCTTCGATCCACCCACGGCAACCCTGTATTCTCCCTTTTCTTCCCTTACGTTTTCCACTCAGCCTCAGGTCTCTGTATGGTGTCCTGGTCTCCTCGTATCCCCTTCTGCCTCCTGGCTTGTTAGCGGACGTGACCAAGAGCTCTGATGAATTACAGCATTTACTCGGTTGTGTCACTACCCTTCGTGAACATGTTTTTATTTCCCACTCGACTGAACTCATGGATCTATTTTATTAGTCACAGAATCCGCCCAGCACTTCGTTAGGCATGAAACCATTGCTTGTTGAATGAGCAGACAAGGTTTGAGATAACAGGATACGTAAGTAGAATGTTTTGTAGGAAATTGGGAAGGTTTGAAATTAAGGGTTTCAATTTGAGAGGAAGAAAACCTTCTCTTAGACAATATGATTGTAGGAATAATGATCTGCTAAGCTGTGATGAGGCTGTCTTGAGAACTAGGTGGTCTCAATCTTGACTGTGAAAAATGATGCCAGGATGAGATCAGATCTCTTATGTGAGTATTGGAGTGGGAAATAGTCATAGTTTAAATAGAAAGCAAAAGATATATAATTATTCCTGTGTAATCTTAATATCTAATGTTTATTAAGTATTAAATTGTTAAGCACCCTAAGTCTTAACTGCGTGTTAAAAAAAAAAAGGGAGAGAGACATTTACAAGTGTTACAGGCCTTGAGGGGCATGTTCAAGTTCTGACAGTTGGGGGCTGTCTTCATGACTATTCTAGCACTGGGAAGTAATAAAGTGTAGTAATGAAAAGGACAAGCTCCAGAATCAGACTGCCTGAGTTTGAAGCCCTTGTTTGCCACTTAATGGTGTGACTTTGGGAAGTCACTGAACCTCTTGGAACTTCTTTTTCATCATTAAAAAGGGGATAAAGTTAGTATTAAGACTCTTACAATGGTTCTAACAATGTAATGCCTGGAACACAATTAATATTCTTTTTTTTTTTGAGAGAGAGGGATTTTTGCTATAGAGCGTGTGCGCTCGCCAGGAAGACAGAGAGAGACAGACAGAAAGCAAGAAATCACCCTCCGGGTGGGATGGCCACACCGCAATCCCTTCTCCTCCAATCTCCTCTCAGGATCTTGGGCTGGCACACACACACACACACACACACACACACACACACATGTGTGTGTGTGCACACGCGCACAACATGAGTTTAAGCCACCAGGTCAGGGACTCACGGTCTACTATATTGGGAGTCCAGTGACATAGCCATTATGCTAACTGCTGGTCCAGATACAATTAATATTCTTTAGTATTAGCTATTAGTATTTGATGGGAGCAAAAGCAATCCTAAATTAGGTTGGAAACCTGCCTCTCCAAGTTTACTTTTTCAGAAAGGTATCAATAGGCTATGTCGGTTAAAAAGCAAATGACTTCTGGGACCAACAGGTGTCATGGTGGTTAAGGCACTGGACACTCCCACATGGCCGACCAGGGTTCAAGTCCCTGGACCTGGTGGCTTGCTTTCTCACTTTCCCTTTCTCTCTATCTCTGTCTCTCACTGGTCAAATTAAAAATAAATAAATGAATAGATAAAAATTAAATAATTATTTTTTAAAAAAAGCAAATGACTTCTTACTGGGGAGTCCTCACTAAAAGATGTCTGAACTGCTTGGATGAAATTTACATTTGCAGATTTAGAAGGTAAATCATTTATATTAATAGTACAGATGAAGTCAGGTGGCAACAGGTTTAAGAACAGGACTTCATGCTCTTTACAGCCTGGTAGGCATTCTTCCCCTTATACACATATGTTATAAAAGTACATCCTTTTTTATCTTGTTTGTCTTCAAGTGGGAGATCCTTTGAGTCTGACTACGTAGTTATAATATCTTTTCCCCTGCATAAAGAAGTAAAAAGTAATTTATCTGAAAAGCGAAATCAATTATGCTATAAAGATGTTTTAAAAAAATAGAGACATAAGCAGATAAACTTGGAAATTGAACCTCAGGATTTTTTTTCCTCAATTTATGAGTAATAGCAAAAATTGAAACAGCAGAATGGCAATTATTTTAACAAAACAAAACAAAAAAATTAGTGTCCTCCAAAGAGCAGATAGGTAATGTATTCCTTTTCTTACAAGGAGCTAAAAGTAAGCAGGGAGGGAACAAACTCTGAATCTCATTGAAGGCAACTTTTGTCACATCAACTTTCTGTTCTCAGAGCTCCTTTTGTTTTCTAGTGGTTCAATATTTTTTGTCTTCATTCTTTTTGGGGTTTCCAAAAAGTAGTTTTAACTGAATTAAAACAGACTTCTTTTTCCTTTCATAAACATATATAAACTAATGAATTTATTTCTAAGTGTAAAACTTTGTCACATATTGCAGAAGATGAAATGAGCAGTTGGGAGCATTGTCATGCACTCAGCGGAAGGAGACACTTGGCAGTCTCCCAGGCTACTGTCTCTGACCTGGCCCTGAGGCTGTCTGTGGTCTGTACCATTTGATACTATTGTCAGAACATCAAACCCTGAGGGATGGATTTACACTTAAACCACATTTTTATTCATGTTTACAATGTATGGGGAAAACAGGACTTACTGGACTCCTGTTGAATATGACTACATATTTAGAAAACAATTCAGCCATTGAATTATAATTTACATGTCTGAATCTTCTAGGAGATTAAGCGAGAGAGAAAGGATTGGAGAATTGGGAGCTCCTGAAGTATGGGGACTTTCTCCAAAGAATCCTGAGCCAGAGTAAGTGGTCAAAAAATATCCTTTTAAAGTATGTTATATCATTTGTTTAAATCCTGACTCTGTTGTCAAAACTTTTGTTAAATGAAGAACTTTAAGTACCTCTCATATTTTTTATTCTTTCTTGTGATTTGGGCTCTTTTACTCCTTACATTTTGAAGACATGGAACATAGCTAAGGATTAAAACATGGGGCCGGTCACATAGCCTAGTAGTTAAGGGAGCTGGATCCAGTGTGGCTGACTACCATTTGAATCCTGTAAATAAAATATATTATTTGTCTTAATAGTGAACATTTCTGAAAAAGAAAGAAAGAAGAAAGAAAGAAAGAAAGAAATGGGACCAGCAGTTAGTGTAATGGCTGTGTCTCTGGACTCCCATGTAGTCGACTACAGTTCGAGTCCTGGACCCAGTGACTTAAACTCACTCCGGTTGCGTGTGCATTCGTGCCCAAGATCCCGAGAGGAGAATGGAGGAGAAGGGATTGCGGCGTAGCCACCCTCCCAGGGGGTGATTTCGCTCTTTCTGTCTCCCTCTCCTTTTCTGGTGAGCACATGCGCCCTATAGCGAAAACTTCTAAAAAAAAAAAAAAAAGTTAACTAAACCTTTCTGTGAATAAGAAATTAACACCCCATGAATTAGCAATGCTATTTAAACAGAACAAATAGCATACCAAAATCCACTAGCAACATTTTAATCCTTTTTTATTAATTGCTGGAGGGTATATGCACTCACCAGAGAGAGAAGGAAAGAAAAAAAGGGAGAAAGTATGCCTTCAATGGGACATGGTCACACTGCAGTCCCTTCTCCATTTCTCCATTCTGCTGGAATTTTCGGTATGCAAACACACATGCCTACTGTGTTTTTTAAGCCTCAGAGGTCCAGATTTAAACCACAGTCAGCCATGTGGAATCCAGTTCCCTTAACCACATGGTCACACTGCAGTCCCTTCTCCATTTCTCCATTCTGCTGGAATTTTCGGTATGCATACACACATGCCTAGTGTGTTCTTAAGCCTCAGAGGTCCAGATTTAAACCACGGTCAGCCATGTGGAATCTGGTTCCCTTAACCACTAGGCTATGGGGCCAGCCCACCTAGAGGACTTTTAAAAAATGAATATACCAGTATGGTTTTGTTTACTGTTTTTTTTTTTTGTTGATTTTCCTATATCCAATACTATCTAAAGGCTCAATGCGTTTTCATTTTCCTTATTTCTTTTCTCTTTGGTGCTACTCCTAAAATTCTTCTTCTTTCTCCTCTATTTCCATGTCTAGTTTGAGTTGAGACAATGTAATTGATAGGTAAACCTGTAATTTGTGACAGGGTGATAAAGCATTATTATCTGAAACTTGTTTTTATAGATACCTTTGGAAAATGCTTGAAGAACCTGAACTCATAGAATTAGAGTTGGAAGGAATCCTAAAAATAATTTTCTAGACAATATCTAAATTATTCCAGGTATGATCTTTAGAGGAAAAGATGATATGATATGGAAACTCCCTTTCTGAATTGTCATAGAATTTTAGTAATACTTATTTCAGAATTCTCTGTAATAAAATGAAATCTTTTTTTAAGAATTATTTTATTTAACTTTATTTTTTAATTTATTTTTAATTTTACCAGAGAGAGACCAAGCGAGAGAGAGGGAGAGAGGGAGAGGGAAGGTGAGAAAGCAAGTCACCAGATCTGGGATTCGAACCGCATTTGGCCATGCGGGAGTCCAGTGTCCTTAACCACCATGTCACCTGCCAGCCCCTAGAATGAAATCTCTTCAGACTACAGTTTGTTTGGTTCTTTTTGCTCTGGAGAGGCAGACAGTTGCTGCTCACCCATTACAAACTCAGAATAAAATTGTGAAGACCTCCCTTGGCCTGAGTTCCAGTTCTTTCATCTTTCCTCCTTGTTCCTGTTCTCTACTTCTGCTCTGTAGTTTCTTCCGAAACTATAAATTCCCCATGCTGCTTTGTTTGACTAGCACCTTTAAACTCTGTAAACTCTAAAGCTTCTGGCAAATTGAAGTTATTTTATTTTAACAAAGGTAGTAGACCCTTTAATTGCACTCTTATGAAAGTTGTCCCATGTTGGCTTTAAGTGGTTCTTGGATAGCAGTGCTGTTACTGCAACGTTAAGTCCAGGGTCCGGCAGGTGGCATGGTGGTTAAGGCGGCTGCACTTCCACACGGCTGACCACAGTCCGAGTCCTGGACCTGGCGATTTGCTTTCTCACTTTCCTTCTCTCTCTCTGTCTTTCTCTGGTCAACTTCAAAAAATAATATAAATAAATAAATAAATAAATTATTAAGTTTTAAAAAATTTAAGTCCATATCATTATTCTTCGTGATCCATATTGCATTACTTTTCTAATTCTTATCATTTTCCATAAATCTAGTTCTGATGAACATACCCCAGTAGAGGATGAAGAGCCAAAGAAAAGCACCAGTTCAGCTTCTACTTCAGAAGGTATTTTTAAGATACAGAGTTTTGTTATTGAGAAGCTTTAAAAATGAGTTTATTAATAGTTGAACATTAGACTTTGCTTTTATTCAAATAGCCTATCATCTATTATTTTTCAGTATTTCTAACAGGATAAAATTGACATTCAAAAAATACTTCTTTCGAAGTTCATTTTTTTATTTGTATTTTCTATAGAAGATAAAAAGAAAAAGAAGAAGTCTAGTCACTCAAAAGAAAGATCCAGGAAAAGGAGAAAGAAAAAATCATCTAAAAGAAAACACAAGAAATATTCTGAAGACAGTGACAGTGACTCTGAGTCTGAAACAGACTCCAGTGGTAAGAATGTCAACATCATTCTGTAAAGTTTGCTTCAAAAGTAGTTTTTCTTCTTAAAACTTGTTTTAGAAAAAGGTTCTAGAAAATGATAATAATAGCTAAGAGTTTCTGAACTTTTGTTGGCTTCGTTCCAGGCATCTGCTACATCTTTTTATCCTTTTTTTTTTTTTTTTGGGGGGGGTTTTTGCTATAGGGCGGGTGCCCTAGCCAGAAAGGCAGAGACAGAAAACG